TCTAATAGCCGTAGTTGCACAGTAGTGGCCCCGGCCAAGAGAGCCAGGTGACACTAGGGGATGTCGCACGTAGATGTGCGGTGGCCTACAAGTCGCCTGGTCTAGGAGGCTGGTGCATTCTGCCTTCGAGGTCTCAGAGTCCTGGGCGCGCACAGATTGTCGTCTCAGATTGAGCTGGCGAGAACGCCAATGGAACGCGGCCATCCCCGGTACCGGGGTCTGGGAAAGAAGCCTTGGGATCCGGTTGATGGTGTTTTAGTCTCATCCCACACATTGGGTCTGATCCCGAAACCACACCGACCGGGTAGCATTTGGTCCAGCAGAAAGTGTTGCATAAGATTTTACCTCACTTGGGGGCCTTAAGCGTTACCTCCTCCGCGGCTGACCAACGTTTGCCCATCACCACCGTTTAAACGCCCGATGCTCCACTCCACACTCAGACAGACAAGGAGAGACATGCCAAACATGCAGTTCAATTTAAGCGATTTTTACTGGTCGCAAGACCTTGCGATGTGGTCAGTCTCAGTGAGTTTGATGGCTCTGAAAAAATATCTCAGGCCTCGGATGCGGGTTCTATGCTGGTAAATTCTGAATATAACCACTGCACAGTCGACTTGAAAAACAAAGACGCAAAAAAAACGGCAGCGAGCTTCTGGTGCTGTCATTATATTTATCCATTTCTAAATACGTAGATCAAGCATAAAATGGAGACGACATGCATGAGGGAAGCGAATTACAGTTGGAAAAGGTGACGTAACAAAGTCAACAAGTAATTAAGCTACGACGCCGGGTTTTATCTCTTTGTTGTGAAAAATGCTACACACAAAGGGGAAAACGACACATGGTAAAAATGACAAGGAAAACTTATCCTACCAGCTACAATGGTGGATGCCGCATTAGCGGCAATACCCCCAGGCTAGAAACTCAGACAGGAAAAAGCAAGTGATCCAGGCAGAGCGCTAGACTTCATCCCAATGTGATTAAAATCTGATGTAGTGTACGGGCTTTAATTATTTTGGCTATAAACTTATTTTAATTTTAATTTGTATTACTTTTGTTATTAATGCCTTTTTATTTTATTATAATTGTACTTTGATTTTGATTTTGTGATTTTTTTAAATTCTGCCCTACATACATCTGACCTGATGCCTATGTAACAAGATTTCAATGAGACCCACTATCGATGATTTTAGTCAACGAATCACAGACCTCCTTCTATAGCGGCACATGATGACGTCACCGGGCAGATTCAGGTGGCAAACACACTCAAATAAAATGACGGATTATACCGATGTTTTCAGTAAGTTTATCATTGTTGAATGCAACAAAAGTCATTTTTTATGGTTATATTGTGGCTCGAATGGTTTGAGTTTAGATCATTATGCGTAAGTATTCTGGGAGTGACGATTTTGTTTCCACCGGTTCGACCGAACACCGGTATCTTTTTCCAGTCGCTTGCCCTGGAGACGGGTGATGTTTTGTTGACGATCGGGTCAAAATCGTCCACGGTATTGAAACCGTAGCTATAAATATTCATCAAAATGTATCAACATTTTGTACATTATACAATAACTCTTTATTAAAGTAATTGAGCTGATTTGGGCTGGAATAAAATATTTATTTGGAACACATCGCAATTGATCAGGAAATATTTTTTTGCTCCAATTTTCTGCGTCGATGCCGTGGGCCGGTGACCGTTATACAATTTAAAATCAGTTTGCATTGTTTACTATAGCTGTTTACAGTGTTCTAATCATTACGATTTACTTATTTGTTTGCTTCCATTCTAGATAATTATGCTCAGTGTTAGATGTAAAATTAAAGCAATGACTGAATAAACAAACCTTGGCTGGCGAAGATGTATCAGGAAGTGTACACATTTGTTGGAAGTGAAAAAAATATTCAATGTAATGACAAAAATTGTAAAATGCTGTCGAATTTCTTTTGTAATTAATAATATACTAGCAATTTTCTGTTAATGGTTTATTCAAGTGGGCAAAATATAATGTACAGAAAGATTGCCCGTATACACTGAAAAGTAAGCAACCGACAGCCTGTATAAAAGGGGGGCTGTGATTGGCTGTTACTTACGCGAGATTTGAACGGGACTTACATAGGCATCGGATCAGATGTATGTAGGGCGGAATTAAAAAAAATCACAAAATCAAAGTAAAATAATAAAATAACAAGCAGCCTATCGGCTGAGATAGCTACGCTGTTAGCAATGCACATTTCAATTAAAGAACTGAAGACATCATTAGAAAATGAACAATATGTATAGTATCAAAGCAATCGGACTTACAGTTTTTAACAAGAAGTCGAAAATATCACTTTTTACCAATAATGACCAAAATATTCACCAAAATTGAGAATTGAAGATATCATCACAAAATGAACAAATCTGAGCGAGGTCCACATGTAGTACCTATATATGTAATATTAAAGCAATCAGACTATTGGTTTTTTACAAGAAGTCGAAAATATCACTTTTTACCAAATATGACAAAAATATTCACCAAAATTATAGAATCGAAGATATCATCACGAAATGAACAAATCTGAGAAAGGTCTACATGTAGTATCTAAATATGTAATATCAAAGCAATTGAACTTTTGGTTTTTAACAAGAAGTCGAAAATATCACTTTTTACCAAAAATTACAAAAATATTCACCAAAATTAGAGAATTAAAGATATCATCACAAAATGAACAAATCTGAGAGAGGTCCACATGTAGTACCTATATATGTAATATCAAAGCAATTGGACTTGCGGTTTTCAACAAGAAGTCGAAAATATCACTTTTTACTAAAAATGACAAAAATATTCACCAAAATTAGAAAATTGAAGATATCATCATGAAATGAACAAATCTGAGAGAGGTCCACATGTAGTACCTATATATGTAATATCAAAGCAATTGGACTTGCGGTTTTCAACAAGAAGTCGAAAATATCACTTTTTACCAAAAATTACAAAAATATTCACCAAAATTAGAGAATTGAAGATATCATCACGAAATGAACAAATCTGAGAAAGGTCTACATGTAGTATCTATATATGTAATATCAAAGCAATTGAACTTTTGGGTTTTAACAAGAAGTCAAAAATATCACTTTTTACCAAAAATTACAAAAATATTCACCAAAATTAGAAAATTGAAGATATCATCATGAAATGAACAAATCTGAGAGAGGTCTACCCAAGGTACATATACATCAAGTATCAAAGCATTCAGGCTTGTAGTTTTCAAGAAGAAGTCGAAAAAGTAAAACATTGACATGGACGACGGAGACGACGGACAATCACTCATATGATAAGCTCCGCTCGACAAAGTCGACAGCGGAG